ATTGGTTAGTCCAAAGGGCATCACTATAAACTCGTAGTGCCCATATCTAGTCCGGAAGGCTGTCTTATACTGATCATCAGGATGCACCTCTATTTGATGATATCCGGACTTCAAATCTATCTTAGAAAAATACTTCGCCCCCTGCACTCGATCTAAGAGATCGTCTATCCTAGGCAGTGGCTCAGCATTCTTTACTGTAATAGCATTCAGACCCCTATAGTCTATACACATCCTCAACTCTCCTTCTTTCTTAGGGACAAAGAGAACAGGGGCTCCGAAAGGAGACGAACTGGGCCTAATCCAACCCTTTTCGAGAAGCTCGTCCAACTGCTTCTGTAGCTCTTCCAACTCCCGCGGGGACATCCTATATATAGCACCCTTAGGAGTTCTACTGCCAGGCTCTATCTCAATACGGTGCTGGATGGGCCGCGGCACCGTGCCTGTCGGCGGTTCAGTTAAATCCTTAAACTCTTCCAACAATTTGGCAATAGTAGGGTCTACGGGCTTCTCTTCCTTAGGCTCAGTCACTGACCTGACATAGGCAACAAAAACCTGTTCCTCTAGTTTCTCCTTTTTCATCAATCTGGCGAACGCGGGGGCACTAAGGCAGCAGTGCGCCAAGGAATTCTCTACCCCTGACACATGGAACAGGCGGGCAATCTTAGCCTCGCCTGACGAACTAGGGAGCCTACACTCGTGCTCCTTCAAATGGAGCGTGGCCCCGGCTGCCTCTCCCCAATCCATTCCCAGAACAATATCAAATGGGAGGCTGTCTTCTACGAGGAGAGTCAGGGAGTGGAGGACCTTTTCCACTTTCCCATCCTTCTYTAGGCGAAAATACGCCTGGACTCCCTCAACGTAATCCTCTACAACCATGGTACGATTGTCTGYGAGGATACTAACTATAGGGTCTGCTAGCTTTTGGACTTTAAGTCCTAGCTTCAACTTYTGCAGCGCCTTCCTACTAATATAGCTACGGGTGGCTCCTGAGTCTACTTCTAAAAATATCTGTATCTAGCAATATAAGCTGCCCTTTATTCTCCTTCTTCATCTTGGCCCAGGCGGGCATCCTCTCTTTCAACTCTTTGGCCACGCCTGTGAGGGAGGTGTCTAGAGAGATCCTAACACAAGCGGGCTCTGGACAGTTATCTAGACACCGGCCTGCAACCTCTGCCATAGGCACATGTGGTGTGGGAGTCTCCTGCCGGCTAGCGCTATGTTCCCCACATGGCCTAATGGTAGGGGCAGTTGCTACCCCTACCGGCGGCTGCCTTTTGGCCCTGGGGCAGCCGTTTGGGTTTTTCTATACTTAGGACAATATTTGATGATATGGCCCAGGTCACCGCAGAAAATGCACTGGCCCCGGTCCAATCGTTGTTGCCATAAAGCCTGGTCCAGACCCAAAGATTCCCAAGGCCTACCCTGAGGTAGCCCTGGGTGCCATCCTCCTATTCTATAGGGAGCCCTCCTCCAAGGACGGTTTTGCGGGGGACCTTGACCCCTGCCTCCCGCTTGGCGGTTTCCTCCTCTGCCGCCAACCCCCTGATCGCCCTGAAATCGACTCCCTGAGGCCCGGCCCCCTTGGCCCTGGCCTCTTCCTCCTTGCGGCCTCCCTCCAGCCGCGACAGCAGCGTAAGATCTCCCTTGGCCTACGCCGCTGTCCGCCTCCTCTAATCCCCACTCAATCTGGTCGTAGGGAATCTCATCCACACTACCCTCATCTAAGGTCAGGACAAGGCTATCCTTGGTTTTTACCTGCCCTGAGATAGTGCGGCCTTTCYATTGCTTACCCCTGTCCAAGTCTTTGTGCCAGAAGGTAGACAGGGACACTGACTTTGCTTCAAAAGCCACCACCTCACGACTAAGGGAATCGTAAGTGGTGGCAGGGTCTTCGCTCTTCGCGAAGAACTGCCCTCGAAAGGCTTCGGGCATAGCCCGGTAAAAGAGGTTGACCACCTGGCCCTCTGTGACCCCATGGTTAGGGACGGCCACCAACTCATCCATTGTACCCTTGAGTGCCCTGGCACTCTTCCATTTACGAGAATGGATGGTTTGGAGCTTGTCTGAGGCCTTGACACCGCGAGCGACATCAGCAAATCGTTCACGCAGCAACTTCAGAAATTCGGTGAGGGACGTAAATGAGGAGTACGCAACGGGATCATCACTACAGTTGGCAGCGCGAACTAGGGACCTTGCAAAACTGGCGGCCTCATCTCTCAGTGCGTGGATAGCAATTAAGACTTGCTGATCTAGGGAGACCTGTTGCAAGTGCACATAGGTCTTAACGTTGGCCTCCCAATTATCAAAGTTTTCTTCCCTCCTCTCGCTGTAGGAATCGGGGAACTTGACTTTGACAGGCTCCCGGCGAGGAGGACGTGCTTCCTCCTCCTTGGGAGCTGCCGCCTTGATGCCTTCAATGGCGCCGGCGCAGAAACGCTCAGTCTTGTCGAGGCGGTGACCCACCTCGACTCCAACGGCGCCTACCAACTCACGAGCAATGTCTCGAAAGCCCAATCGTATCGAGCGCACAGCTATGTCCTGACTTCTGCTAAAGTCATATTGGTCTGCCTGAACCCGTGCCAGGCATGCGACGCTCCGCGCTATGACTCGCATCTGATTCGGGAGATCGGGCTGGGCAGCTAATTGCGTCTCTATGTTCTTAACCTCTTCTAAGGCCTCTGCCGCCTCCGCTGCCTTGTCAATTCTCCTCTTCTTCTCCCTCATCACTGCTAATTTCCATTCCATCTTCTTCTCGTCTTCCAACGCTTGACGTTTCAGAGGGTCTTTCTCTGCCTCCCAAGCCTTCATGGCGGCTTCTTGCTGATCCTGCGGGATGTACATACTAACCTCTTCCTCTTCTCCTACAGTCAGGTTGGCAACCCATTCAGAGATCCTTTTCTGCAGGTTTCCACCGGTATTACTACTGGGCTGCCCACTACTCCTTTGCAGTGGCGGTCCTTCCTCTTCTTCATCCACCTCCTTCAGCTTCTCTTCTTCTTCCTTTTTCAACCTTTCTTTCTCCCTGGCCATTTCTTCTTCCATCTTCTTCATTTTGGCCGCCTGCTCCTCCTTCAAGGCCCTCTTCTTGGCCTCCTTCTTCTCCTTCTTCTCCTGTAGAAGGGCGGCCATCTTCTCCTCCTCCTCCTTCGTGTAGGGGGTGGTGGACGTCCCACCGCGAGTGGGCCCTACTCTACACGTGAAAGTGGGCCAAAAGCCCAGAGGAAAGAGGAGACGCCAGAGGGTCCCCCAAAGGGAGAACCCA